TTTCAACCTTAAGCTATGAAATGTGTTTGGAATTGTTCCGTCTATAGTTTTGATGTGGTGGGTCCCAAGTAGTGAGCTTTTCAAGCACTCTTTAGGGAGTAGAGGAGGCGTGTGCTCAAGGACATCTTTCTCTGATTCAGATAGGTCCTGTTTTTTAAAATGTGAATTCACTTTGTATAGTTCAAATACCTTGTTTTTAAAGAGTGAATGCATCTTGAGGGACATTATCCAAAATAAGAACTTTTCTTCTTTTAAAAATTTCCTTGAAGACAGTCATATTTGTAGAATGTAGGTGGTGAAATATTTCAGAAGTTTAGTGCTTAGTGTGAGATCTGTGGAAAAAAAAAAAGAATATAGATGATTGGTTCACCTGTGAGCTGATGTTCAGAGAGTTGCAGAAGTTTAGAAGCTGGACGACATAGGAATACCACAAACTAACCTAATGATGCTCTTCTAAATTTTGACAGTGTGTAATAGAAATTAAACCATCACTCATCTTTATCCTTTAACCTCCAGCTAAGATAACTATATAATTATGTGTATATGAGTCTAGATGTGTGTGTTTATGTATGTAATACATTTGTCTATGTATATACACAAGTAGAAACTCTATAATGAAAAAATAATGTCTTTCATTAGAGCAGTATTTCTCAATCTTTTTCATTTTTCACTCCCACATACATCTAAGGAGACTTTAGAAATTTTTTTCCTAACTGTGCCTCCCCCAATGAGATTTTAGTGTCACACCATATACTGTATATCTGTTTATGTATGTATGTGTGTGCTTTATACATAAAAAGAATAGACCAGTTCTCACCTTTTGGGGATGCCCCAGATGAGAATGTGCATGATTAGAGTGAGAGACTGTTCTGACCATCTGGAGTTCTTTGTGTTATAGTCTGTGACTTAGTACAGAGTGAAGCCCTTTTCCCCTAGATTTCCTGTTTTTCCATAAGTTCTTGACAGGACTAGGTAACACCGTCACTACCTGTTGCACACCTCATTTATCAGCAGCCTTATTCTTTCACCTGAAAATCTCTGTCTAGTTCTTCTGTTCAGGCCCATTGTAATCCAAAAGAAACTATAGATAACATTCAAATCATGCCATTTTAACCTGTATTTAAGTAAGGTCACTGATTTTTTTAAAAAGACCTAATTTTTTTTTTTTAGTACACTTTTAGATTCACAGAAGATTTGAACGGAGAGTGTTGCACTGTCCAAAAACTTTGTTTGTGTTTTTTGGTAACTTCTTGCCAAAAACTGGAAGCAAATTTTTTGGCCAACGCAATACAAAGATTTCCCATATAACCCCTACATCCATATAGGCATACCCTGCCCTATTTTCAGTATCCCTCACTGGATGATAACAATTGATGAACCAGCATTAACACATCATAATCACCCAAAATCCATGGTTTAACCTCAGAGTTCTTGCTTGTTGTTGTATATCCTGCAGGTTTGAAAAACATGTACAACATTTTGTATCTATCATTATATCATCATACAAAGCATTTTCAATGCCCTCTTGTGTTTCACCTATTCATTCCCCAATCCCTGTCAAGCCCCTGGCAACCACTGGTCTTTTTTGTGTCTCTATCAGTTCAGTTCGGTTCAGTTCAGTCGCTCAGTCATGTCTGACTCTTTGCAACCTCATGGACTGCAGCACACCAGGTCTCCCTGTCCATCACCAACTCCTGGAGTTTACCCAAACTCATGTCCATTGAATCGGTGATGCCATCCAATCATCTCATCCTCTGTCATCCCCTTCTCCTCCTGCCTTCAATCTTTCCCAGGATCAGGGTCTTTTCAAGTGAGTCAGCTCTTCACATCAGGTGGTCAAAGTATTGGAGTTTCAGCTTCAACATCAGTCCTTCCAGTGAATATTCAGGATTGATTTCCTTTAGGATGGACTGGTTGGATCTCCTTGCAGTCCAAGGGACTCTCAAGAGTCTTCTCCAACACCACAGTTCAAAAGCATCAATTCTTCGGTGCTCAGCTTTCTTTATAGTCCAACTCTCACATCCATACATGACTACTGGAAAAACCATAGCCTTGACTAGATGGACCTTTGTTGACAAAGTAATGTCTCTCCTTTTTAATATGCTGTCTAGGTTGGTCATAACTTTCCTTCCAAGGAGTAAGCGTCTTTTAATTTCATGGCTGAAGTCACCATCTGCAGTGGTTTTGAAGCCCCCAAAAATAAAGTCAGCCACTGTTTCCCATCTATTTGCCATGAAGTGATGGGACCAGATGCATGATCTTAGTTTTCTGAATGCTAAGCTTTAATCCAACCTTTTCTGACTCGATAGTTCTGCCTTTTCCAGAATGTTATATAGTTGGAATCATGCAGTATGTAGTCTTTTCAGATTGGCTTCTTTCAGTTAGTAATGTACATTTACTTTTCATCCATGCCTTTTCATGGCTTGATAGTTCATGTCATTTAATGCTGAATAATATTCTGTTGTTTGGGCATACCACAGTTTATTTATCTATTTGCCTGCTAAAGGACATCTTGGTTGCTTCTAAATCTTAGAAATTATGAATAAAGCTGCTGTAAACATCCATGTGCAGTTTTTGTGTGATAAGTTTTCAACGCCTTTTAAATACCAAGGAATGCAGTTTACTAGATTGTATGGTAAGAGTGTGTTTAGTTTTGTAAGAAACCACCAAACTGAGTTTCAAAGTTGCTTTATGTTTTGTGTTGTCATCAGCAATGAATGAGATTTCTGTTGCTCCACATCCTCACAATCACTTGATACTGTCAGTGTTATGGATCTCAGCCATTCTAATAGTATAGTGGGCTGATTTTTTAAAGTTATATTTTTATCAAAATATAATTCACATACCATAAAATTCAACTGAGTGGTTTCACTGTATCCATTGAGTTGTGCAACATCACTGCTATCTAAGAACTTTAGAACATTCCATTACCTCAAAAAGAAACTGGTCAAAATTGAAAACATCTGTGTTTCAAAGGATATCATGCAGAAAGTGAAAGGATAATCCAAGGATTGGAGAAAGTATTTGCCACTATAAATCTGGTAAGGGACTTGTACATATCTAGTAAGGGACTTATACCTCGCATATATAAAGAACTCTTATGACTCAATACTAAAAATACAACCCAATTTAAAAATGGGCAGAAGATCTGAATAGACACGCAGAAGGCCACTGAGCACTTGGTGGGAAAATAAACCTTTAAAAACAGTTTGGGGGGGTTCTCAGAAAGTTAAACATAGAGTTACTGTATGATCCCTCAGTTCCACTCCTAGGAATATATCCCGAAGACATGAAAGCATATGTCTATCATAAACTTGTTCACAGGGTTTCTTTGGGGGATGATGGAAATGTTCCAAAATTGTATTATGATGATGGTTGTTCAACTCTGAATATTCTAAAAATCATTTGTTTACTTTAAATGGGTGTTGTATGATATGTGAACTATTAATATAGTTTAAAAACAATGAGAACAATAAAGGAACACCCCTTTCCCATTAGCTCCTCATCCTACCTGCTCCCCACAACCCCAGTAACCACTAGTCTGCTTCGGGGCTCTATGGATTAGCCTGTTCTTGACGTTTCACATAAGTGGAATCATTCAGCCTGTGACCTTTTGTACTTGGTTTCTTTCATCATCATAAATGTTTTCAGAGTTCACACATATTCTGGCAGGTATCAGTACTTCATTCTTTCCTATTGCCTAGTGATATCCCATTGTATGGCCATACCACATTTTGTATATCTGTTCATCAATCAGTATATATCGGGGTGGTTTCCACTGTGAGGCTAGTAAATAATGCTGATTTTAAGGTTCAGGTACAAGTTTTATGTGGACATAGGTTTTCAGTTCTCTTGGGCTTAAACCTAGAAGTGAAATCAGTTGGTAGTAAAGTAACTGTGTTTGTGAAGATCGGTCAGACTATTTTCCAAAGTGGCTGCACCATTTTACAATCCCACCAACAACTGATTTTTAAGTGAAAACTAGTTGATATGCTCCTTAATGTGTCCTCGGCCAGATTCTCCCCTTCCCTGTCTGAACACAAGGCCACACAGTCCCTTAATTGTCACATGGAGGTTAAACCCCCAGTCGTAGGGCTTTCTCATGCCTGCAAACACCCAGGCACCCCCCAACTGTCCGAGCTCTCTTGAATCATACGATTCCACCCAGCGCCTCCTCCCAGAAATCTCATTGACAGAGCTCCAGTGAGAGCTTTTTCTCTTTAATAATAGATTACATTCCTCAGGCTTCTTATCCCCTTTTGAGAAATCCATCTTAAAAATATATGTGAACCTCTGTTCTTAATCCTAGAACTTTGTTGACACATATATCTGTATCTTCTATTTCAGTTGTATGTTTGCACACTCCACACCCCCACGCCACACCCACCACATTAACCTGCACCTGGGCATTGACGCAGGGCTTGTCCAGCCTGAGTCTGGCTGTCAGTCACACAGTCCAGTCAGCAGAGTCAGGGAATGATCCTTGGTGTGGTCAGCCATTGCATGTCCTCAGATCTGTCTTGATATTCAGCATCTGCCCTGTTTGGGGGAGGGAGTAACGAAGTACACATGTGCATTACTCTCAGTTCGGATCATTCTCCTATTTACTTGTTTCAGGGCAACCCCATTATCCCTTTCTGGATTGCTGTTCTGGTCAACTTATAGATTTAGTGAGAATGTGACTCTTCTACACCCTTTTCATGCCATTTCCATAATAAGCAGGATATCTCCTTCCTGCCTGTAATCCTTTCTTATAAAGAGTTCTAGGGTTGTAACCCATCCTTGCATGTGGAATATCTGTGTAGTCTGTTTGCTGTCTCCAGGGCCAGTGTGAGCTGCTCCTCTTTCCAGGGGACAGTAGCATGTCTGGGCCTGGCATGGAGGGGGCACAGGTCATTCAGCCAGTGCTGCTCAGTGGAGGAACGTGTTCTGTTCTGTAGATGCTGTGTGTGTTCCACACATTGCTAACATGCCTGGTGTCCCCATGTTCTCTCCTGTAGGCTATCGGCTGTACTCTGAACTGCAGCTGCCAAAGCTTCAAACCAGGGAAGATCAACCACCGTCAGTGTGAGCAGTGCAGACATGGATGGGTGGCGCATGGTAACCATTTCCCTGCCTTGGCCTGTAGTGTTTCCTCTAAATAACGCAATTACTCCGGAACGGGTTTAATATCCACGAATGACAGCTAACATCTGAAGTTACTGCTGTGTGCCAGGAAACAGGCTAGGAGCTTTATATGTGTTATCTCTTTGGATCTTAACTCTGAAAAGTGTTTATCCACTGCCTTCTGAAGATGTAGAAAGTGGTGCTTCAGGGCTGTTCTGCAATGAAAGAAATAGTCTGTGCATATACAGTAAGTAGCCTCTAGCCCAGGGTTGCTAGATGAAAAAGTAGAATGCTCAGTTGAATTTGAATTTCAGTTAAACTATAATTTTTTTAGCCTAAGTATATCCCAATTAATATTTTTGGTTTAAGTATATCCCACTTATTTGTTGTTTATCTGAAATCTATATTCAAGTTTAACAGGAACTTCCTGTGTTTTTATTTGCTAAACCTGACAACCCAGCACTACACCAGCCACATGTGGCTACGAGCCCTTGAAATGTGACTAGCACAACGGGCGAGCTGAGTTTTTAGTTTTATTTTTTAATGTTAATTAATGTAAATCTAAATTTGAACAGCTGTGTTTGACTGGTGACTGTTGCGTTGGACAGCATGGGCTCAGTTGCTGAGCCTGACAACTGGAGGGTGGCAGACGGGCGCTCCCACCCCAGTCTGAGGGCTTCCAAGTCCAGGTTCTCCCCCAGGGCCTGTGCTTCCTGGTTTTCCATCCTCTTGATTACACACCTGCCACCTTCATTTTTACCAGTTTCCCAGGTGTGGTCCTTACCTGTGGCTGTTTACTCCTTAGGCACGCCACAGGAAAGGGGGAAAAGAGGCCTCTCAGGGTGCTCCATTTTATCTTAGAGGTTCCTGTGAATAACATGGAGCCAAGTAGCCATTAAGATTATTAATTGTTTGCATATTTTTGGCTTTTCCATTGGCACAAATAACTGAGAGTTCGCCCTTCGCCTACTTCCCAAGCGGTGTTTTTCTCTTAAAGGTAGAATCTTGAAAAACAACATTTTTTCAATTCCCTTTTTCAGCTCTGAGTAAGCTGAGGATCCCCGCCGTGTACCCCACAAGCCAGGTGGAGATCGTCCAGTCCAACGTGGTGTTCGACATCAGCAGCCTCATGCTGTATGGGACCCAGGCCATCCCTGTCCGCCTGAAGATCCTTCTGGACCGGCTCTTCAGTGTGCTGAAGCAAGACGAAGTCCTCCAGATCCTGCACGCCTTGGATTGGACCCTCCAGGATTACATCCGAGGATACGTGCTGCAGGTACGGGGATGTGGGTGCCACTCCTCGAGAGCAGGACAGGTGTAATGCAGTGCCACCAGTGCTCCAGCTGCTGGTAGTCATCCCTCCCTTTCATCGTCATTCCTCTTGGCCTCAGCCTATCTCACATTCTGGGAGAAATCCATTGCTTTCCTTGTGGCACAGTGGTAAAGAACCTGCCTGCCAATGCAGGAGATGTAAGTTCGATCCTTGGGTTGGGAAGATCTCCTGGAGGAGGGCATGGCAACCCACTCCAGTATTCTTGCCTGGGAAATCCTGTGGACAGAGCAGCCTAGTGGGTTATAGTCCATGGGGTCGTGAAGAGACAGACATGACTGGGCACACAAACACTGGTATCTGTTAGACTTCAGGGAGTGAGAGCATTACATGTTCTCTGATTTGGGTTTCACTTGCCAGCTTGCACAGTCAACACTGCACACTCACTCACACAGTCAACCGTTGGCCCCATCCTTGGTGCTGCCTCCATTTCTTTTATTATCCATACGACATCATTGGTTTCCAATTTTATTGAGGGTTTGGAGTTGAGGAACTTACATTGCAGAAAGGCACAGCAGACAGTTCCAGTTTTATCCTATGCCTTCTTGTCCTTTAAAGCCCTCTGCCATCCGCCCTCTGCCATCCACCCACTGTTGACCTTTCTTCCCAGGCCCCGATGACTTGTGATAGTTCTGTGGGCGTGCTCTCGCTTATTGTCTCTCCTACCAGTTCTCTTCCAGCCTTCTTGCCTCATTTCTGCATCACTCTGTAATCCTGTGCCTTTCATGCCTTCTCTCATCTCTCTCCTTTGCAGAGTAGTTTCACCTCTCTTTGTGTTCTAGGGGTCTACCTTATGCTTCCTATCCAGAGAGGCTGTCAAGGTATTTTCTCAGGCAAAGAACATGTTTCCTGGATTTCTCTGACATAGGAAATAGCTACAGCATTTTCTTCCCTGTCACTATGCTAGAAAATGTCAGTTGACTTTGATAAAAATTTCAATGAGATGGGCAGATGAATGTATTTCCAAGACTCACATACATTCAGTGTAACTCAGCTAGGCCATAAACTTGAAACAAGCACAAATAACAACCATTTACTGACTTAGTCCCTCTTGCAGTCATCTCACAAGGTAGGTCGATTATCCCCATTTTCCAGGTGAGAAAACAGAGGCTGAGTGCTTCCAGATCTTGCTGAAGTCCCTCAGTTTGCATGCAGCAGACTTGAAATGTGAACCCACTCTCTGACTCTGACAACACCTGCAGGCTTCCTCTGGAACCCTGTTGGCTCACCTCGAGTGTGGGACCCCTCGAAGGCCAGAAACCACCTTTTATGTAGAGCAGCATTATGCTTTTACATTATGACATAGATCAATATTTAATGATCCTAATAATCTTGCTTTCTAGTGTTAGGATTAAAAATATGGAATCAATTACCTTGAACCTCCAGCGCATGAAAAATTTATGATGTTACATTCCTCATCATCTTCAAAACTCTTACATGCACTGTGAAAAATCTCAGTAGGCCATCAAATACATGTTCTGTGATAAAATATTTATTGTAGTTTTGGGAAAAGTTAGGTCTTGCTAGAGTTTGAAAAATCTCCAACACTCCAGTGTAATTACCGCTCTGCTTTGTGAACACAGGCAATAGATCAATACAGGTTCATTTGTATTTTGATGTTAGTTGCTTGGGAAAGATCATTCAACCCGCAGCAAATAAATACTTGAGCTATATCTAGGCCTGATTTCCCATCTATACTGTTTAGATAAAGAAATTACTGTTGCTCAAATGATACATATTTTAATTTTAGTGGGAGAAAATTATTATGCCTAATGCAAGACTACCAATGGTTTGAAGTAGGATGGAAAATAATCACCAAACTTCCCTTAGACTTGAGTGATATAATTTTATTTCTGTCTTCTGGACCACCACTAACATTTGTACAGTTTACTTTTCCACAGAGAGTTTCTTTCCTAGGAGAGTGGGGTGAGTGAGGGCTGAACTCATCGAGCCCAGTGCTCCCGGGGGTGTCTTTTTCTAATATATACAAAAGTGTCCCATGATGCTGGTGGAGGCCCTAACCACATGGCATGACTCCTTTCTTAGAGAAGAGGGTTGTGGTGGTTGCTGTTTAGTCGTTCAGTCATATCTGAATGTTTTGCAATCCCATGGTCTGTAGCCCACCTGACTCCTCGGTCCGTAGGATTTCCCAGGCAAGAATACTGGAGTAGATTGCCATTTCCTATGCCAGGGGATCTTCCTGACCCAGGGATCAAACCCACATCTCCTGCATTGCAGGCAGATTCTTTACCGCTGAGCCACCTGGGAAGGGTAAGGAACAGTAAATTAATTGTCCTTTTAAATTCTGGTTTGGGTTTAGGATGCCTCGGGAAAAGTGCTGGATCACTGGAGCATCATGACCAGTGAGGAGGAGGTGGCCACCTTACAGCAGTTCCTTCGTTTTGGAGAGACCAAGTCCATAGTTGAGCTCATGGCAATTCAGGAGAAAGAAGAGCAGTCTGTTGTCATCCCACCTTCCACGGCCAGCGTCGACATCAGGGCTTTCATCGAGAGCTGCAGCCACCGGAGTGCCGGCCTCCCCGCTCCCGTGGACAGAGGAAGCCCCAGCAGCGTCCACCCCTTTGAGAACCTCATTAACAACATGACCTTCATGCTGCCTTTCCAGTTCTTCAACCCCTTGCCCCCAGCACTGATAGGGTCACTCCCCGACCCCTATGTGCTGGAGCAGAGTCAAGACCAAAGCCAGGACCCCAAACAGGAAGTCCACGGAGCCTTCCCTGACAGCAGCTTCCTCACTTCCAGTTCCACCCCATTTCAGGTTGAAAAAGATCCGTGTCTCAACTGTCCCAATGCTGTCACCAAAAAGGAAGACAGCACCCACTTCAGCGACTCCAGCTCATACAGCATCATCACGAAGCTCGAAAGGACACAGCTGTCCCCCGAGGCCAAAGTGAAGCCCGAGAGGAGCAGCCTCGGCACAAAGAAGGGCCGGGTGTTCTGCACGGCGTGTGAAAAGACCTTCTATGACAAGGGCACGCTGAAGATCCACTACAACGCCGTGCACCTGAAGATCAAGCACAAGTGCACCATCGAAGGCTGCAACATGGTGTTCAGCTCCCTGAGGAGCCGCAACCGCCACAGCGCCAACCCCAACCCCCGGCTGCACATGCCCATGAACAGAAACAACAGGGACAAAGACCTGAGGGGCGGCCTGACCCTGGCTGCCTCGGAGAGCGCGAAGCGCCCAGGCCTCGGGGTGACTCCTCCAGACTGCCGGCCTCTCCCTGGCTACGCTGGGGCCCTGGAAGACCCCCAGAGCCAGCCAACCTTCCCAAGCCTCAGCCACAATGGGGTGCTCTTCCCCAACCTGAAGACTGTCCAGCCAGTCCTGCCTTTCTACCGCAGCCCAGCCACTCCAGCCGAGCTGGCCAACACCCCTGGGATGCTGCCCTCCCTCCCTCTGCTGTCCTCGTCCATCCCGGAACAGCTGGCTTCCAATGAAACACCATTTGACACCCTGCCCAAGAAGAAATCCCGCAAGTCCAGTATGCCCATCAAAATAGAGAAGGAGGCCGTGGAGACAGCAGATGAGAAGAGGCAGCCTCTGAGCTCTGATGAAGACATGCCCCTGCAGGTGGTCAGCGAAGACGAGCTGGAGACCTGCAGCCCCCAGTCAGACGGAGCCCCAGAGGAGCCGCACACGCCAGCAGGAAGCTCCGAGAGGCCTCACGTTGAGGAAGAGAGGCCCTGCTATCTCGGGCCAGGAATTGAGTCCAGTGGAGCCATCCGCCAGACTCCTGAGCAGGCCACACACACCTCGGAGAGGGAGACTGGGCAGAAGTCAGCGTTGAACACCGTGCCACGGGACACGGAGGACGATGGCCGGGAACCTCACCTCACCACCAGGGTGGAGCCCTGCGTGCCTTTTCCCGACTATATCAAACTGCAGCAGCACCTGCTGGCTGGGGGGCTCTTTGGTGCCTTGTCCACCCAAGGAATGGCTTTCCCTTGTTTCGAAGATTCCAAAGAGCCGGAGCACTTGGGTCAGCCAGCATCAGTGAGGTCGAAGGACGAGAATCGCTTCCAGTGTGACATCTGCAAGAAGACCTTTAAAAATGCTTGCGGCGTTAAGATGCATCAGAAAAACATGCACGCCCGGGAAATGCACACATGCACAGTGGAGGGCTGCAAGGCCACTTTCCCCTCCCGCAGGAGCAGGGACAGGTAAGACACCAGGTGGCGATCTTTGCTTCCAGGGCGGTGGGTCTTAACCTTTAATAGGCACTTGAGTCACCTGGAGGGTCATTAAAGAAAACTTCGGAGCCCCACCCCTACTCTTTCTGTCACAGAAGGTCTGGGACCGGATGTGAGGGTTTGCATTGCTAAGTTCCCAGGGGACACTGAGCTATTCCAGGGGCCACCGTCTGAGGACGAGTGTCCTATAGATCCAGGTCCCTGCGTTTTTGGCTCCAGTTTAAACTCATTTAGTTATAAGACCTGACATGAAATGACGTGAGGCTATCTGATCTTTTAGAGTCTCCCCTTGTGTGGGGTTTTGTATATATTCAGTACAGAAATGTTAATGGATTTCTTGTGGGGACATTACCGTGATATTACAGTGAATGCATCACTCTGCCTTTCTAAAGCCTGAGGAATTTTGGATTCAGAAACACATCTGGTCCCAGTGGTTTGGGATATCAGGAACCATGAATTAGTTCACTCATTAGAGGAGCAAGGGAGGCAAGGAGCTTTTCACATTAGGATAATAGCGTCACAAAACTTGTCTGACTTTCATTTCAAACTGAACTCCACAGAATGAAGCATTTTCTCTGATTTCTAATTAACCACTCTATTTGAAAAGAAGAATAACTGCCTGATTGAAGATGTCTGAAATATTGAGTTATTAAAGAGTAAAGTCTATTAACAGGTTATTTCCATGTCTGTGACATGTAGTTGAAAGAGGAGAGGTCGTGTCGATGCTGGGTTTTCATGACCCCACGACACAGAACCAGACTGCTCTCCATCTGCCGGGGGATGGAGTACCCCTCATCTCTGTGGTCACACAGCATTGGCTTTCCTCTTATTTTTCTTGATGAACTTGGGTCGCAGAACCATGCTTCAGGTCGCCTTCCTCCCCAGCCTTTAAAGGGAAGAAGAGGCTTACCAAAAAATACCAGGAGGCTTTAGGGAGAGAACCAACCCTCTGATGAGACCAGTGCTCAGCTGCAGCATTAGAGATGCTAAATGGTTCACAGAACATTAAAATGTTACATTTGTCCAAACAAACTTTATTTCAAGCAGCTCAACACCCCCATTGCCTTAGTCCAAATTGTAGCCCCTAATTTATTAACAGGGCGAAAAGGTGTAGACTCCCACACACATTCCTGGACAGGGCTCCTAAGAACACACTCATTGTCTTGAGCAGAGAGGATAGGGCAAGGGTGATATTTGTTAAAATTCCTGTTTCCGTCGCTGGATGTTGCAGCCAACCTCCAGGACACCTAATTAGTGCGCTGGTCCTCCTCCTCCAGCCTCCGAGAGAAGAATTTGTTCATGAATAAGCTGTTGTTACAAAGAAGGAATAGTCCTGTCAGTCAGATTATCCTTGTTATTTATGATATTGTTCTGACCTATGTCATCTGCCAAGTTAGAAGGCATATTGAATTTAAGATACTATTCGTATTTATTCTTCATGTATTTAATATTTTCCTGTTTTTGGATCTATCTGAGATGCGAGCCTCCTCCCCACACCGCAGGAAAGCATCTCGCATGCTAAATGTAAACCACTAATTCTAGTAATCTAGAATTGGTACTGTGTTTTCCCTGGGATCTGTGATTAAAACAATACCATCTTGACAGGACTTGGCTAGCAGTCCCAGGTCCACCACCATTTTTCTGAATCAGAGATGAGAATTGCATTGCTGTGAGGACAGCTGCCTTCCTGTCTTCAAGCCGCGGCTACTGCCCACAGCACTTCCTAGGACCCATCAAGGGGACTGCCACAGCACTGTGGATACTTAGCCTGTGAGTGTTTAATCACCTCTGTGTTAGGTGCTCTGGACACAGTCCCTGCCCACAAAGGCCCGTGGGGAGGCAGCAGTGCACAGGCGATTACAACTGACTGTGGTGGCTGCTAGAACTCGGGGGATACAGACTATAATGGGCATGGGGGGCATCTCACCAAACTCCTCGAAAAGTTAGGGTTGGTTTCCTAGAAACCATCTTTACATGGCATTAGTCTAAACCAACCACTTGCAAAAGTTTTGATGTCACAACTCCTTTACAAATTCTTAAAACCTCAAGAACTTGTGTCTGTTTGGGTGTATATCTATCAATATTTACTGTATTAAAAATTAAAACTGAAAAAAATTAATATGTACATCACATCACTTAATAAATTAGTTTATTACAATTTTATGAAAAATTACATTTTCCGGACAAAGAACTTTAGTGAGAAGCGGCTTTGTTTTACATTTTGCTAATATCTTTAGTAGACGACGACTGGATTCTCATGTCAGCTTCTTCATTCAGTCTGTTGACTTCTTCATTCAGTCTGTTGAAATATCACGTCATATGGCCTCTGGAATACCACTCCAGGCGGCGCTAGTGGTAAAGATCCCCAGTGCAGGAGACTTAAGAGTCATGGGGTTCGATCCCTGGATGGAGAAGATCCCCTGGAGTAGGAGCACAGCAGCCCGCTCCAGTATTCTTGCCTGGAGAATCCTATGGACAGAGGAGCCTGGTGGACTACAGTCCATGGGGTTGAAAAGAGTCAGACCCGACTGAAGTGACTTAGCACACACACATGCACACCAGTGAGAGAATGAGGCAGAAAAGGAAAATCATGTCTTAGTATAGTTATGAGATGAGTCTGACTCGAGAGACATCCTGAAAAGATCTCAGGGACCACTCGGGGTACCCAGATCACACTTTGAAACCCACTGGTATCAGCTAATCTACATAGTCAGGAGCAGGGGAGGGGAGAGTTGGAGTGGGAGGTTGAGGTTTAAGTGAAGAAATGCAGACCTGGGCAGGAGGCACAGCGTTAGCAAAATCCTGGAAGCAGAAAGCCCAGCATGTGGTCCCGGGGTTTTGCAGATGTGGTTGTCACTGACCTTAGGGGACATGGCACCTTGGAAAGTACATCTAGCCCTCAGGATGGTTGAGGAGGAGAGAGGGCTGCACACATGTTAGTTTTTGGTGTTCATAGAATCCTCAGCAGTTGAGCACAGGACCCAGAGGTTCCCTCTGTTACATCAGGGACTTTTCTGTACGGGGTTCCAGTAAATGTGTTTGACCCTTTTTTGACCACTTGTATATCCTGGAATCTATATGTCAATCTAGTGTCTGGTTTTCTGCCGAGACATACCTGCCCCTTCAACCCAGGATGCTGACATAATCACAGGGCAGAGTTGCAGTGGAGAAGAGCTGCTTGCAAAGTGGGTGATCTGGGAGCGTAATTCTGATTATGTCCCCCAAAAAGAAAGTATACAAGGATTAAAAAGAAGTTGAGTAACAAATTTCATGCACTTTGAGTAACATCCCCCCCGGCTCCCCACCAAAGACATCTTTGGAGATTTAGAAGAGAAAATCTGATTTCTTGTTATTTTGGTGAGGATATTTTTCCCAGTTTGACCCTGGCACGCATCCTGATCTGTATTGGGGGAGGTATGTTCCCTGCTCAGAATAATTCTGCAGTCACCTTTGAGATTATGCCCTGTAGTAAGGGGCATTTTTGCTCGTCAGAAGGTAGGGGATCTCTGAGCAAGGCCAGCATTGATTGACAAGTTACATCCAAATGATATATTATGAGTAAAAGGCATGTGTCATAATGGATACTCATTATCTGCCCTTCAGGACTAACCATTGGGTGGGTGATTGGCAGTGTGCTCACAGTGCTGCACTTGCAAAATTCCTGTCTGGTATATAGTGAAATGTTGCAAATACAAACTAAATTTCACATACACGCACACTCACACACACATATACCACTTCTAGCCTCTCACCTGTAGAACTTCCATGTGGTGATGTTTCGTTCAGATGCTCTAGTCCACGATGCAAACCACGTAGGAAATCTTAATATTTTATGGTAGCCACATTAAAAACGTGAAAAGAAACAAGTAAATTTAGTAATGTATTTCCTATCATTCAGTCTATTCAAAATATTATCATTTCAGTATATGACACTGGCCACCTTTCAGGCTCTCAGTAGCTGCTTATGAGTAGCCGTTATTTGGGACAGTACAGCTCTGGAAGAGCCTGTCTCCTGGTTTCATTGAAATAAAGTCCTCTGCTTAGTTCCTTACTGTTTGTGACCAGTTTTCTTCTGGGATCTCCTGGTTCCAGTGTCCCAGCTGAATGGGCCTACCTGAAGCAGTCTAGCCATTCTCTAAAGATGAGGTGCAGGAACTTAACATGTCAGGCAGACTGTGCAAGCTGAAGAGAACTACACATTCTGTCAACTCCCCTGGTCAGATGCTGACTTGGGACAAGCAGTGGACGGCAGCGGGCAGTGTCCACCACACAGGCGCTGCATCCTGAGCCCCTTAGCATCACTTCCCTCACGCCACAAGCTTTCCCGGTATCTGCCTAGTGTCTCTACTCAGACCGAAGACTGTCTTTAAAACAACAAAGATGACAGCCCTACTCATTGCTAACCACCTTTTCACTCTTGTAGACACAGTTCAAACCTAAACCTCCACCAGAAAGTATTGCCCCAAGAAGCTCTGGAGAGCAGTGAAGACCCCTTCCGGGCAGCTTACCTCCTGAAAGACACAGCCCAGGAGGCCTACCAGGAGGCCTTCACACCGCAAGCCTCCCAGACGTCTGTCATCTTCAAGGGGATGAGCCGGATGGGCGGTCTGGTATACCCGCTAGCCCAGGTCCACAGCACCGGCCTACAGAGCTACGCCTCTGGTCTGCCCAGCGAGGGCACTGTCTTGGATCTGAGCACTACCTCGAGCGTGAAGTCGGAGAGCAGCAGCCACTCCTCTTGGGACTCAGACGGGGCCAGCGAAGAGGGCACTGTGCTCACAGAGGACTGCGACGGCAACTGTGATGGGCCAGGCCTGGTGCCCGGGGAGGACTACCCACTCTGCGTCCTGATGGGGAAGGCTGACCAGAGCCTTGCCAGCTTGCCTTCTGGGCTGCCCCTGACCTGTCACCTCTGTCAGAAGACATACAGCAATAAGGGGACCTTCCGGGCCCACTACAAGACCGTGCACCTCCGCCAGCTGCACAAATGCAAGGTCCCCGGCTGCAACACCATGTTCTCGTCTGTCCGCAGTCGGAACAGACACAGCCAGAACCCCAATCTGCACAGAAGCCTCACCTCCTCTCCCAGTCACCTGCGGTAACAAGACAGTGGACCACTTGGCTTGAATAAGCACTGGTCGGAATTCAGGAATAAGGTAGTCCAAAGGAAAGTTTCTCACTCTGTTTAATACTATTTGGAGCAAGCAAGGCAAAGAGTGTGTGGGTTGACTTCACAGTCTTCAACAGCAGGATGAGCTGTTGTGAGAAGCTGTCATGGGGCAGCATTTCCTGTTATCTTTCTCAGCCCACGAGGTTTTTCACTGACATAGCAAACATTTGCAGCAACGTGGTTTTCCCAGATTTGTTTACACATCACCTGGGAGAGTGCCAGGTCTGTCTCTTGACCACAGGGGCCCAGGACCTGGAGGGGAGCTGGAAGGAAGGTTGTAGTATTAAGGGTCAATGAAGTGTCCTGTGGACACAGACTGTCACCACAGGTGACACCAGGAGCCAGTCCCAAAGATCACATTTTTGAGTTCCTGCCTTAATGAATCCAAAATCCAAACTGGAGTTTGGGAAAATGACTGAGACTCTCCCTCCGTTTAGATTGGAGAATTGCTTTCTTCCCCCTATAGGTCTCATGTGTTACTCTAGGGAGTTCTCAGAGAAAGTGGGTTGGCCTCTTAACATGTAGGAACACGGATGTTCCCTGGGATGTTGATTCTTGCTCCATAACACACATTCAAGAAGCTAGTGGGGAGTACTTCATGCACTTAAAAATAGTGGTCTTCAATTTAATTTAAAATAAGTTTGATAGTATTTAATTTGTGTTTATGTTATGTGAGTATTTGGGATGAGTGCAGACATGTCACAGTGTGACCTTTGAGTCTCTGCTCAGAAGCAGAGCGAGTGACAGCCTAAAATTCGAAAACACTGCCTGTTTTCACTTGGTGAACTCCAATATCTGTTCATTTAGAGCCCCCCTGGAACAAATGCAGGTGTGATGCTGGCAGGACCATTTGTATATAATCAGCCAAAGCATTTAGAGAATGTGGTTCTGACAGTTGTTGTGCATTTTCAGTATCACTGGATCCCTCAGTCTTCACCCTTTTACAGATGTGTAAGATTAGGATGAACTTTCTAATTTACGTGGTAGAAAGAAAAGTAGGACATTATTGCCATACTGTATGTCTTAATATTTAACTTATTCTGAAATATATTCTGTACCATTATACATGTTTGCTGTTGTAGAAAAGAAACTTAACAGGTCCTGTGAAAGGAGACCATCTCCTGAAATTTGGCATTTGCCCTAAAAGCCCATGGTTGCAAAAAAGAAATTGATTTTGTATTAAACTTTCAAGTTAATCACTTTTTAAACTCATGGTTGGTTTGAGTAATGAGAATCGGGGAGTCAAAAGAGATACTATTCCTCTGGCCCAAAGGTGAAAAAAAGCCAATAATGTGTTAATGATTATTTCAACTTTTTTTTTTTAATAAATGTGACAACTTAAACCTTGTCTCTGCTTAAAGTGAGATGTATCTTTCAAATGTTTTGTTACACAGCTGTTTCATATTCCAGTGTCCCCAAGATGGAAAAATTTGTATACAAATGAGTTTTCTATGATTTAATAAAAATATATGGCACACTTTTTGTTTAAAAAGGCAAACATTTGTCAGAGCAGTTTTGTCACACATCCTGCCTGTCATATGAGTGCATGCAGTCAATACACACACACACTGTGAATCTGACAGATCCCACCACCCAGGGGAGGTCTAGTGGACAGGAATCAGTAACTACTGTGACTGAAGTGACTTAGCATGCACACGCACACCACAGCCACACAGGAACTGCAGTGGTTCATGAGTGCCAAAGAAATTAAGTGGTTACTTCCCTGGGAGAAGGGACTTGGTATTAAATATCAAGGAAAATACTGGAATTTTTAAAAATACCGTGCTGTCAAAGATAAGTCTTATGACCAATGCTCAAAATGCAATTAAAGAGCTAAGCCTCTTCTTTCTTAAATATGCAGTTTTTTTTTTAAATTTTTGTTATCTTTCAACTTCCTCACGTCTTTTTTTTACCTTTCCATTATATGTTGATGGTGATTTAGTCACTAAGTCATGTCTGACTCTTTGCAACTCCCTGGACTTTAGCCCACCAGGCTCCTCTATCCATGGGATTTCCCAGGCAAGAATACTGGAGTGGGTTGCCATTCCCTTCTCCAGGGGATCTTCCTGACCCAGGGATCGAACCCAGGTCTCCTGCATTGCAGGTGAATTCTTTACCGACTGAGCCACCCAGGGAAGCCCCTCATCAGAGGGAATTTTTTTTAATATTTATTTATTTATTTGACTGTGCTGGGTCTTAGTTGCAGGACTCAGAATCTTCTATCTTCATTATAGCATGCAAGCTTTTTTTTAAGATTCTTTTTTTTTTTTTTTGATGTGGACCATTGTCAAAGCCTTTATTGAATTCATTACAATATTGCTTCTCTTTCATGTTTTGGTGAGTTTGCTTTTTTTGTTTTTGGCCCCAAGTCATGTTGGATCTTAACTCCCTGACTAGAGATCGAATCCTGACCCCCTGCACTGGAAGGCAGAGTCCTAATCACTGGACTGCAAGGGAAGTCCCTACATGCAAACTCTTGAGTTGGAACATGCAAACTCTTGGCTTCAGGCTGTGGGATCTAGTTTCCCAACCAGGGATCAAACCGGGGGCCCACTGCTTTGGGAGCATGAAGTCTTCACCAATGGACCACCAGGAAAGTCCTTCAGCCTTCCTGATTTTTCCCCTGTGTGCCTGTGGGTGGCTATGTTAGTCTGGGTCCTCCAAGAAGCAAATGCCAAAAGATCTAAATGTACACAGTAGATCTAAACATACACAGATTATATTAAGAGACACTTGAGAGAAAATAGAAAGGGAGCTGGAAAAAGCTGGAGGAGCCGGCAAACAATGCAGGTCTGAGCCCAAGTGAAGGAGGGAAGGTTGGGTGAAAGTATGTGAGCCTGCCTTGTACCTGAGGAAGATTCAGCCAGGCCTTTGGCAAGTCCTTGAGCACAGATGAACCATCTGAGCAGTCTCCCACCTCCCAAGGTGCATTCCCTGGAAATCAGGTCCCTGCCGTACTCCGTCATTGGCTGCAAGCAGCCCGTGGGAAATGCAGCAATGGACATAGATCCCAGTGGCTGGATCCCTTGGCCAGCCCTTCCCTTTCTAAAGCTCCTGGGGCCATTCAAGGTAGATTCAAACCTTTATTCTTCTCTGAACTCAAGTGTTTATTTTCTTTTTGAAGACTGATGCTCCCATCTCATCCCTCCAGCTGCCTCAAGGATGTCACTCCGTCACTCCTCTCTCCCATTGATTATCAAATTCATCTTTCTAAGGGTTCTGTCTCTCTAGCCTGCAACATTTGCAAATCTCTCTCATCTTAATGATTAAAAGAAAGAAAAAATTACTGTCTGTCCCCCCTTCCCCAATCCCTTCTGGTGACTCTTCTTTCTTCCTCCTTGTGCAGCCAAGAACTTTAGTAGATTTTTTAAAATATTTATTTATTTTGGCTGTGCTGGATCTTAGCTGTGGCATATGGGATCTTCAATCTTTGTTGTGTCATGTGGTTTCTTTGAAGCATGCAAAGAATGCAAACTTTGCGGCTTGCAAACTCTGAGTTGCAGCATAAGGGATCTAGTTCCCTGACCAGGGATTGAACCCAGGCCCTCTGCACTGGAAACACAGAATCTTAGCCACTGGACTGCCAGGGAAGTCCCATTATAGTGGATTTTGCTGCTCTCCTATCACTGCACACCTGTTGCTCCCAGTGACTCCCAGATGATCATGTTCATGGGACACATCTGGTTCCTTGCTGTGCCCTGGTCTGTCCCTCGCTCTCCTGCTTAGTCGGCTCCTTCATCCCCATGACTCAGACGACTTGCTCTCTGTAGGCTGATGCCTCCTTAATCAGCACCCCCAGCAGGATCCCTCTAGAGCTGCCCTCTTGACTGTTGGTTACCATGGAATAATCCACAGCATCTCCAGCTCAACTTGTCCTCCACTCAGTTGTCATTTCCCCACCAACCATTTTCTTTCCATTTCCTCAAATTGAGGGAGTGGTGCCATTACCTGACCAAACCAAACAAACCCTGGGGGCTGTCATGAGTTTGGTCACGAGCATAGCTCTTTAGTTCTGACTGACCTTGGCCAGGTAACAGCTTCCCCCTCAGTTTCCTCATCTGTATAATGGGTACAAAAATAATCTCTGCCTCAGTGGCTCATGATGAGACTCAAATGACATGGTCACACAAAGCACTTAGCACAGTGCCTGGCACATACACACTCATCTAACATTAGCCATAAGCATCATCTTCATCAATAACATCATTCCTGTTTTAGACTTTTCTTTACATCTCACTCTCAACAGCAGCACTCAGTCGCCAAATCTCAACACATATACCTACAAAAAACACTTACACTAAATGGGAAGGAAATCCAGAAAAGAGGGGAGGTATGTAAACATACATCTGATCCCCTGTGCTGCACAGCAGAAACTAACACAGCATGGTAAGGCGACTATATTCCAATATGGAACTTCCCTGGTGGTCCAATGGTTTAGAATCTGCCTTCTGGCAACCTAAATGTCCATCAACAGATGAATGGATGAAGAAGATGTGGTACACATATACACCATGGAATGTTACTCAGCCATAACAAGGAATACATTTGAGTCAGTTCTAATGAGGTGGATGAACCTAGAGCCTATTATACAGAGTGAAGTACATAAGAAAGAGAAAAACAATAATTATTAATGCATATATATGGAATCTACAAAGATGGTACTAATGAACCTATTTGCAGGGCAGCGATGGAGACACAAACATAGAGAACAGACTTAGAGACATGGTGGGGAAAGGAGAGGATGAGAGGAATGGAAGAGGAGCATGAAGACCTAGATGTTACCATGTGTAAAATAGGAAAGCAGTGGGCATTTGCTGGGAGCAAATGCAGGGAGCTCAAACCCGGTGCTCTGTGACAACCTCAAGGAGTGGGATGGAATGGGAGGTGGGAGGGAGGTTTAAGAGGGAGGGGACATGTGTATACCTATGGCTG